TTACAATAGCAGTTGAAAAATAAAAGAAATATATAGTCACGATTTTTTTTTTATAAGCATTCAAAGTTTGAATTTTGACAACATGCGTAAAAATCACGAAAATTCGTAAATTATTGTATGTTAGAAATTCATAAGAAATTTTCCTTTTATATCTAAGATTTGAAAATTTTTTATAATCTATAATATATCCTAGACAGATAAACCGTCTCCGCTTAGAATGGTTTTTCGTATACAATGATATAATATCATTGGATTCAAATTTAATTTCATCCATAACAGTAATAACCCACTTGTAAACTACTGTACAGGCGTACAGCAGAGCGACATTCACGACTTACACGCTTTTTTTCTACAGGAACTTAACAAGTTAAAAAAAATTAGTTAGCTTGCCCAACTTTAATTAGTYWTTAGTGATGTACTGATGTACCGCAATATGTGTGACGGATAAGCATKAATTTTATTTGATTATTGTTTAGACAGATATAGTTGACAAATACGACCGAGTAAGCGGCCGTCTATGTTACCCGCACCTCCGGTGTTCGCTAACGAAGAAATGGATGCGGTACGCGTGGATCAAGACAAGCACGTTTTCCATCGACAACCACGTGATCGGATTGCCGGAGACCAAGTCGATGTCTGAGGACGGCATCATGGTGAGTGCGTAGGTATATAAGTATTACATAATATATGATGTGTAATAAACAAGTATTATATGCGTATAATGTAATTTGTATACAAATATATATTTTAACGCCRCACAATATTTATTTTTATTTGATATAATATTGTGTGGTGTTGGCAGTTGGGTATGGTTTAATTGAAGAAGCAGTGATGTATTGTCTAGAAGAAGTCTCCCCTCTTGCGGAACGCACTCCCCACAATATAAACCACTTAAATATCAAATCAAGCCACTTTAAGGCATAAGTGAATTCATATGTATATAAAGATATCTTAAGTTACAAGAAGGTGTAACTATCGTTGTATACTTGTATCTAATCTATAATGGCAAATTATATTCCTTTACGTTTTGAACGAAACGCGTGCGTCGGATTGTACAACGAAGTCATTTTTCTTTTACCTATGTGAATTCTCTTCAAAAGAGGTGTTCAACTCGTCACGGAGAAAAGTAAATCAATTTTTATAAAATTTCTACTCAGCAAAATCGGTTCCGGAAATCCGTTGAGTAAATCGAACGTCTTATTTCATATCCTATCAGCCATCAACATTAAACGATAAATAAGACTTTACGCGTTAAAAATATAAAATAATGGTCGATGTTTAATCTTTGTATTATTAATATTATTATTGCTATTCATTGTTTCTAAAGAACGTCATTATAAATAATATAACTCAATATTGGATATGTCAGTCAAAGTTTTTTAGTTTTGTTTGTGTAGAAGTTTCGCAAGAATAATTTAAAAATTAAAATTAAAAAAACAATCGATAAAATAATAATCAAAGAAATAATTTCGGTATATCTATATACTATATACATGATAAAAAAAATCATTAATATGAATAATTAATTCTGTTTTGTTTTTATTAATTAGGTTTACAGTAATACCACATTGTGACTATCGACTATGTAAAGTATGATAGTATGATACACACATTATAAATTTGTATACCTACATATACTCGTATAGCTACCAATATATTATAGTACATAATATAGGACCATAGTGTACACACAATAATGCGATATTACTGTAAAACCTAAATAATAAATATTTTGTACACACCTATATAATATATATAATTATATAGGYGTATAATATATAAATATAATATAATTTATATTGTCATGTATATCAGTATTGATAATATCGAATTATATGAAACAAAGAAACTAGTGTACCAGTAGCATACTTACCTTACCCCGGTATTGCGAATTTTGACGGTTCCCGTTTACACAAAAATTCAAAAACCACACAATCGGCTTGAAATTTTCAGAGTTTGATTAGGCATGTTGTGGGGTATCAGCCCTGCAATATTATTTTATTTTTAACATTTGAGAAGCCCATAATACATATACAGTATAGAAGACGGTTGGAGTTTGTTCGAGTACGATCGAGTAATCATCCGGCATTTATTTCAAATTTTACACTTAAAAATTAATTTAAAATGTCAACATTGTGCAATCGTTTTTAAACTAGCACCATTAGATTACATATGTTCTTGAATACCATCCCTGTTAGTYAACTGAATGTATAAGGATAGAAAACCTTTTCATGGAACACAAATATATAATAATGTAACAAAATATTGCATTATGGGTCTGATATGTTTGCCCGACACTCAAATACCCGACACCTCAATTGCCCGACACCATTTTCCCGATACTACTTTTACCCGACAATGTATTTGCCCGACAA